AGTCGTATTCTTAGAGGAAGTACTTAGCATTTGGAGATTTTGGACATCGATGGTTTTGATTCTTTAGGATGACTTTTGAAAGTGCCGTGTCAAAGTTATAAATTTAAACTTCACATCCCACACTTTGAGACTATGTCATATAGCTAGTGAGCCCAGTGGACTTCCATTTACCGCATTTTGATGTGGTTTATTTTTGCTAGATTAGACTCAACAAGGATGATTCTTATGAGAATGCTTAGGCTCTTGTGCTATATGGACAATTTGGGGTCTGTAGACACATTCCAGTAGATAAGGTGAGTGCTGTGTCCGACTGGCAATTTGACTTTGAGTTTAATGGACAAGAATTAAGTGTCACCTGGTTTTTGTTTGGCTTAATAACTAATTACATTTTATTATGTGAGTAAAAAGGCTGAACACTATAATTGCTTGATAGGGAAACATGTAGGGGTTTTGTCTCCTTTCAAAAGTTTTTCTTAATAGTGTTTGCATTTTATTTTAGGCAAAAGTCAACAACTCTAGTTTAATTGGAGTGGGCTACACTCAGACTCTGCGGCCTGGTAAGTATTCTTGATAAAGTAGGGTTTTTCTGATAGTGTTATAAAAGTTAGTTTTCATTTCTTATTTTACAAACCTTTCAATCACACAAAATTGACAAACGAGTACAATGAACACATGTTTACTTTTGGCCAAAGTTTTGTATTTCCTCTTTTTTTTTTGCTGGGCTGTTTGGAAGCTGCAGCTATCATGACGCTTCCCTAAATGCTTCAGCATATCTCCTCAGAGTGAGAACATCCTCCTGTTTGCATAATTCAGTACCGTTTTCAGTGATGCCATATTATTATCCATTCTCTAGTCATTTTCCTCACTTGTACCTGAAATGTCTTATAGTAATTTTTATTTCTTCAATCAAAGTTCACTCATTGCTTTGGTTGTTCGGTCTCTATAATCTAATTTATTTTACATCGTATTTTGAGCCTTGCTGTATTCTCTCAAGCATTACTTCTCAAACTTTAGTGTGTGCATGAATCACCTGGGGGATCTTATTAAAATGCAAATGCTGTTCTTACAGCTCTGAGGAGTTCTGTTTTTCTAATAAGCTTTTAAGTGATGCCAGTGTCCCTGGTTCTTGAACCACCATTTGGGTAGTAAGGTTCTAGGGCACTAGGAGCTTCTGTCTCCTCTAAATAGGGCTTTCCACTCACTATTATTTTTGACAATTTTGAAACCTAAAAGAAAAGAATGGTACCATGAACACCCATATGCCCGTTATCAACATTCACCATATTTATTTTATCTTTCCATGTCTGTATATATAGTCCTTTTTTTTTTCACATGCCCTTATGAATTATTTAAATGTATGTTTTATAGCTCTGTAGACACGTCAGCCCTGGTGTGCATATCTGTGTAAGACATTTTTCTTTATAACTACAATACCATTCTCACAGCTAAGAAAGTTAACAATAATATTTGGTATGTACTGTAGTCTATTCAGATTTCCCCACTTGTTCCCAAAATGTTTATTGTAGTTTTTCCTTTCTAGGATTCAATTATGATTTTCTTTAGTCTGATAGTATGTTGAACATTATTGCATTTTCTAGAGCACTTTGTACTTTATAATTAACATTTTTATGTTCTGTGACTTGATACCTTACCTGGGATGGTGCCAACAGAATTCTCTCTGCCAGCTCAGGTATTCACAAATGCCCTCTGGTGGCTAGCACTAACAGGTCATCTGACAGGCTGAGGAAAAGTGATAGGCAGGCTATGGCATAGTAAAGAAGACTAGATTCTCATGAGGTGTTTCATGCACGTCCTGGTTGTCTGCTTCTGTTTACAGGTGTGAAGCTTACGCTGTCTGCTCTGGTAGATGGGAAGAGCATTAATGCTGGTGGCCACAAACTGGGGCTTGCCCTGGAGTTGGAGGCTTAATCCAGCTGAAAGCAACCTCTGGGAATGGATATCAGAAGATTTGGCCTTAATATATTTCCAGTGTGACCAGCAGGCTTTTCTCCCTCCAAGAAGGTGATCAAAACAGGATGAGCTAAACAAGAGCTGTGTTTTAAATATGTATGTAGACAGTTACTTGTTAGCTGGTTTCTAGTTGAATTGGTTATCTAGTTACCAATGCGGCAGTCCTGCAGTCACCTATACATTATTTAATGTATTTAACTGTTAAATGCGCTACCCACCAATAATGAAATAGACCTTTATGAAAACTGTACAATTGTGTGCATGTTGTTTTTATGTTCCTTTTAACATTGAATATTGCCATTGAATTAAATGGATCAGCGGATTTAAGATGAGGTTAAATTTTTCTTGTTAAATTCAACTATTAGAATAACTTTTGGTATCCTAAAATATGACAAATTATGAATAAAATAACTATACGTAATTAATGACTCCAAGTATTTGCAGAGTTAAAAATTTGCTAGCTAGGGTTAAATCTCCCTGGTTAGCTAATAATTATTTTTTCCAGTGAGCATTTTGCTCTTTACCAAAACCTGTGCCACAAACTCTGTGTGTCCCTAGAGTAACTCCCTGAGCTTTTTAGGTCACAATAAAGTAAGAGGATACATGCCTTTTACATCTTCAGCTTGTAAGTTTGTGCAGAATTACATTGGATCATTGTTAACCCCAGGAGGCGTTGGAGAGGAAGTGATGAAGGGTAGTGTTAGAAGTTTTATACACACACCTTACCCCTGTGAGCTATTGCTATGGATAATGAACCAGGCCCTAGTTAGGTGGGATGAGACTAGGTGTAGGGAAATGAAATAAGGTGTAGACAGTATCCGGATCCAGAGGGACGGTGAGAGGAGTATATAGGCCCAGTGAGAGGTCATTACTCATTTTCCTGACTGGAAAGCTTGGGCCTGAGTTTGGGACCAGAGGCAACATCTTCAGTCTATGTGGCCCATGGCCTTCATCTGGACTTGTGCTGCATAATAGAAACTAATAGGTAATTTTGGTTGGAAAAGTAGGTAAAAAGTTTTTTGAAGGGTGGGTACACAGGTTAGAGAAGGGGAGATTTGTTCAACAAATTCATTATACAGACCTGAAGTACAGATAAAGAACAGATAAAATAGAGTGCTTTGAGACTCATTACCCAAAAAGTGATTGTTGCTGAAAATGTCCTGGTTAAGAAGAATGTGATGAGGAATTAGAAGCCTAAGTTAAACCCCCCTCACAGGTGTACTGGGGCACAAAGACTCCTTCTGGTCTCACTGTTTGTCCTAAGGGACTGACTAGAATGGCCCACATGAATCAGACACACATGACTTAATGGCAGAAAGCTGGAATTTGAGCCAATTTATTTGAGTCAGGACCTATTGCTACGTAAGGAAGAACTGTGAAAGCACCTCTTGTGCTTTTGGGACACATACGTATGAAGCAGCCCGGCCAGCGTGGCTCTGGTTGAGCGTTGACCTATGAACCAAGGAGGTTACAGTTTGATTCCTGGTCAGGGCATATGCCCGGGTTGCAGGCTTGATCCCTAGTAGGGGGGTGTGTAGGAGGCAGCCTATTAATGATTCTCTTTCGTCATTGATGTTTCTCTCCCTCTCCCTTTCTCTCTGAAATCAATAAAAAATAAAGATTTTAAAAAAAGGTATGAAGTGCCCTAACCGGTTTGGCTCAGTGGATAGAGCATAGGCCTGTAGACTGAAAGGTCCTCCCAGGTTCGATTCCCGTCAAGGGCATGTACCTTGGTTGCGGGCACATCCCCAGTGAGGGGTGTGCAGGAGGCAGCTGATCGATGTTTCTCTCTCATCGATGTTTCTAACTCTATCCCTCTCCCTTCCTCTCTGTAAAAAATCAATAAAATACATTTTTTTAAAAAAAGGTATGAAGTAGACCAGGAAAGTCTCAAACTGCTGGTGGTGGTCGGGTGGGCGGGGAGAAACTAGGTTACTGGGCCTGGCAACACCTGCAGCCCCTGGATGGCCTGTTGCCCCTTAGCTGACAGGTGGCCCTCCCTCATGCTGAGGCTGTTCACCTGATCCAATACTCTGGACTGGGGTGCAAGCATATGTTGTGAAGTGTGGCACAAATGAGTTACCGGTTTGTCAACGGTCTATGTACAGAAAATTAGACCTATCCACCTATGTGCACCTATGAGTGGGAGAGAGGATGGGTTTATAGCTAGGGGGCTGAGAGTTGTCTGAAACACAAGGTATATTACAGGACCTGTAGGATTATGAAAGCTGCCACCTGTGGGCTCCTGTGGCTTCTAGCCTCCTCCAGTGCTCCCACCATCCTGGCCTAACCAGGTTGTAGCAAAACCTAATTGTATTCTAGGCTGAGGCAGTGTTTACTAGTGAAAAGAACACTTACTAGCTGAACGTGCCTTCATCTGTGGCTTGGACATCCTACAGGATTTGGGAAGGTTTAAACAAGAAAATCACCAGGCTCCCTTGCCACCTCCTGCTCAGAGGTGCTGGTGCTGCAAAGCCTGTCTTCCTCTGGGCACTTGTTAAAAGTTGCCGTACATACAGGCTGGTCTGCTTCACACCTCTGGCCAGTGATCCCACCCAGTCCCTAACCTCTAAGTCCTCTTGTCTAAGCCAAATGGCCTGGTTTGCAGAGGTGAGGCCGAGCTGACATGGCAAAACATGGGCAAGTGGCTGGCTGCACTGGCCTCACCTCCCCTGCAAGGCCCGTTGTCAGATCCCAGATACGGTTCCCCACTGGTCCCAGCTGCACTGGGATTGAACCTCAGTCACTATCCTTCCTAGGAAGGTGTCGGGGAGACCAAGGTGGCTGCACCCATCTAGCCCTGAGCCTGGAAGTAGAGGCGGACCTGAGGAGCAGGGTCCTCTATCTAATGGCATGTGGGCAGGTCAATTAAGACTTGTACCGCCCAGGCTCTAGTCAGCTGGAGGCTCCGGTGCCTGGGCCGTCAGGACTGCCCGGGAGGTGAACTAACCTGAAGGCTCCCCCGAGCTCAAGAAGCCGGCTGTGCTGGGCCTTCCCTTCCTACCCCACTTCAGTGGAAGCTCAGAAGGTTGTGTCTAGGACCCACTTTATTGACAGATTTAAAACGGGGTCGATGGCTGGGATTCCCAGGTCCCCTCCATCGAGGCCGTGGCTAGGGGCAGCCTTAGATTTTGAAGGCTAAGGTGAGGCCGTCGCCCAGGGGCAGGAGGCTGATGTGCACCCGGGCGTCGCGCAGGATGCGCTCGTTCAGGTTTCGGACGCACTGCGTTTCCAAGTCTTACCCACTTTATTGACAGATTTAAAACGGGGTCGATGGCTGGGATTCCCAGGTCCCCTCCATCGAGGCCGTGGCTAGGGGCAGCCTTAGATTTTGAAGGCTAAGGTGAGGCCGTCGCCCAGGGGCAGGAGGCTGATGTGCACCCGGGCGTCGCGCAGGATGCGCTCGTTCAGGTTTCGGACGCACTGCGTTTCCAAGTCTTGCGGTTGGGGTTGCAACACTTGCCCCCGCCACAGGACCTGCGGAGGGGCGGGGCGTCACGGGGCGGGGCTTCCGGGGGAGGGACCCGAGCAGGAGGCGGGGCGCGAGCTGGAGACTCGAGAGCCTGGAAAGGCCTGGGGACTCGGCTTGAATACCTCGAGGGCGGGGCTTACCTGAGCACTGGGCGGGGCTTTGGGGCGGGGCCCAGGGAGGGGACCACGGGAAAGAGACTCCCAGCCCGAGTGTCCCCCGAGTCTCATCCTTACACTGACGACAGCGAGGATGCCTCCGGGGCGCAGCAGCTGCAGGCACCGCTCGTAGTAGAGGGTGCAGTTCTCCTTGTCGGCGTCCACCACGGCTACGTCGAAGGTGCCAGCTTCGCCCGCGTCCAGGAGCTCATCTTGCGGTGGAGGGGGGAGGGGGGAAGGCAAGGTGGCTGAGTCCGCAGTCCCAGTGGCCGGAGCCCTGCCCGGGCCAGTTCTGCTGCTGTGACCCCTCGGGGACTCCGGCCTCGAGGACGCCAGCATCGCCACCCTGCATGTGGCCGCGCACCGAGGCTGGGCAGCGGGGCTGGCATTGCCCCAGGCCCGTCCGGAGGGCCTGGTCACTAGCTGGCACCCGATGGCCCTATTTGGGAAATGGCGCCAAGGCCCTTTCACAGCGGTGCTCACCCAGGGTTTCCAGGGCGGGCTTCAACCGAAGGTCAATCTTGTGTTCCTCTTCAGCCTGCGGATGGAGGGGGGTCAGGGCCAGCGGGTCCTTTCTGCCGGTACTGGGCTCCGGGGACCTGAGAGGGACACTCACCTTCCGCCATAGGGGCCGCCCCAGCTCCGGGGGCCCCGGGTTCACC